TTTCATGCAAATCCGTTTAGTCGTTTCCGCGTATTAATTTAATTAAACTTTTTAACAGGTGGCAACTCTTCCAAAAAATTTGCCTATTTTCTACTGTAGGTCATAAGCTATCTGTGTGCAAATTTTCATGCAAATCCCTTTAGTCGTTTCCGCGTATTAATTTAATTAAACTTTTTAAATAGGTGGCAACTATTCCAAAAAATTAGCCTATTTTCTACAGTAGGTTATAAGCTATTTGCTTGCAAAATTTCATGCAAATCCATTCAGTCGTTTCCGCGTATTAATTTAATGAAACTTTTTTAACAGGTGGCAACTCTTAAAAAAATATCCTATTAACCAATCTGGCCCATAAGCTATCTGCGTACAAAATTTAATGCAAATCCGTTCAGTCGTTTCCGCGTGATGATTTCCCAAACATCCAAACATACAAACTTTCACATTTATAATATTAGTAAGAAGTAAGATTAGTAAGATAGTAAGATAGTAAGATAGTAAGATTAGTAAGATTATAGCAGAAAAACGTGATCACGGTGGCACAGAGAAGAAACATAACTTTTCCTTGAGATGTGAGAATAACAAGCACAACAAATTTGACGGCTAATAATCTGAGATTTGCCTGTGTAAACGGGGTGATTAAAAACGAGCTTTGATTGAGAAAATATTGATATGTGAACATACTTTAAGAGTAAATGAACAAAACCTTGTCTAACACTTCGGCAGGATATTTCTACGTTTTCACAGGATATTTCTATGTATTTTTCAGGCGGTTTCCAGACAGAAGAAGAACATTTGTCATTTGTATGTGTGCACAATGGTTGCGTGCTAAAATGCTCTTGCGCAGTCTCCTCGGGTAATTGCATGATTTAATAACACCGTGCGACAAAAACCAAAAATTTCTAAAACACTCGAAAAAAGAATATATTCACAAAATACGAGCTACATATAGTATAAGTGCGGGTTTAATGTTTCTCTATGACGTTAGGATTTTTTTTTAAGGGCTTCTAGGATATTATTAAATTACAAAATTATTTAAAAGATTTGGTGCATTGTAGAGTAAATGGGAATGATTTCACAAAGATATGCGGAGCTGTCGGGCATAGTAACCATGGGCGCATCTATGTCAGCGTCTGGTTGAATTGTTGAACCACAAGCCAGAACTCCTATGCCTGAAGAACTGGTTCTCAATCTAGTTAACACAATAACAACTTCTTCCAAGCCATTGAAAACATGCACTTTGTTAGGACCACCACCTGTTGCACTTGATTCTGCCTTCGGTCGCGCTTAGGGATTATAACCCTTACTATGTATAATTCTGTGCTGCCGGAGAAGAGGGGCTTCCGCATGTCAAAGGTATACAACATTTTTTGTGCATATAACTCCGGCTACGCCATCCACATGACATTCCCACGACAGCCGGTTCTACGTACCGGAATGACTCGGGTTTTACCCGACCAAGGGCTGTTGTTTCGGCGATCTAACCCCGTTTAGGTCGGCGAAATCCATCAAACGTTGCTCGATCCTAGGGCTACACCTTCTCCGCACCCTTCTGCTCAGGGCTGGCATAGAGTCAAACCCAGGGCCAGAAATCTACACCTGCTGCGTATGCCAGAGACGACTGCATACAAACTCCACCTTGGTCAGGTGCAATGCCTGTGACGGGTGGAGTCACCTCCGCAACTGCTCAGGCCTGCGTACGCACCGGCAATGGACCACGTCGTTCGTGGCGCCATGCTGTGCGAACCGGACCGCCTCCACGCAAACCACCACCCGCCTGGGCAGCACACAATCAACACACCCACACCCCAACACAACACAACAATAGATACACAAACAAGCACAATAGCACCCACACACCGCCGCCGGCAACTCCTAGTCCCTCCGACAATCTGCTCTGTTTGTCAGTCCAGAATATACCGTAACGTGACATCAGTCAAGTGCATCTCTTGCCTCGGCTGGTGCCACTTTAGGGCGTGCTCAGGACTTCGCAACACACGAGATTGGACGAGTGACTATGTGGGCCCCTGCTGTGCTGCCCCGTCGCATCCCTCCCCCGCGACGCCGCCAACCACCACCACAAGGCAGCACCCCCTTTTGCAGCACGTACAACAGGGGGCCGGCAGGCAACACAACTTTTTAACACCACACATCACAATCGGTCTCCCAAGGCACACAAATGTGCTACAATTCAACTGTAACTGACTCCAGAGCAAGATCGAGGAGATAACTGTCTTTATGGGAAGGCATGGAATATTAATAGCTGCGGTCCAAGAGACGAAGTTGCACGGCAATTCAACCCTGTTGAACATTTNGCGTGGTTGTTGTTGTCAATTCTATACATCCATTTGCTTATTTGCTTTTTTGTATAGTTTCAGGCAGGCTCTTCCTAAACTATGTATTTGTCAATGTTATTGTGGCTTGTTAACATTTTATTTTTAATATTTTTATTGAGCTTTGTACCACGATTGTTTATTAGGAAAAATTGAAAAAGCAACAAAGTCTAAGCGGT